CGAAGCAGGCAGGCAGATTGAGTTGCTCACAGAATCGTAGATTCACTCAGAGATCTATCTATGTGCAATCAGCTGCCTGAGTCTATCGCATAAAATTTGCTTGCAAGCAAACTCCTAAAATTTGATAGCAAGCAAACTCCCAGAATTAACTCACAACATACCATGTATGTAAATATTGATTTTTTTTATTAAAAAATAAAGCAACGTTTACCCCCAAATCGGGCAAAGCAGGCAGGCAGATTGAGTTGCTTGCAGAATCACATATTCACTCAGGGATCTATCCTTCTGCCATCTGCTACCTGAGTCACTGCACTGAAAAATAGAAGGAAGGTTCAGCTCTGCTTTTAGATTAGCTAGAAAGCAAGAAATCCAATGATTTCCTGCTTTCTAGCTAATCTAAATCTCCTGGCTGGGGGGTGGGGGTGGGGAGGAAAAGTAGACATTTAGCAGGCAAGTTTGTTGGTGTGCATGCCAGGGAAGGAGTGAGGGGGCGGGGAGGGATGGGTGGGGCCAGCCCGTGGCACAATTTGCCGATTCTCTGAACTGGGCAGAATCATAACAACTGGATCTATAGAACCGGTTTGACCAGGTAGAATCCCACCCCTGCGTCCTCCTCTGTCGGGCCCGAGAAGGACAAATCTATTTTGATTTATCTCTGTTTTCTCATCTCTCACATGCTCTATTCAGTGGGGTCCCCGGTGCTCTCTGAGCTGGGTGGTTTTCTTGCAGACATTTCATGACCTGACTAGGTAACGTCATCAGCACTAGAAGGAAGTGGGTTTTGCGGAGAGGAGGAGGAGGAGGAGGAGGAGGAAAATTGAGGGGTCCTTGATGCTCACTGAGCTTGGTTGTTTTCTTGCAGTCATTTAGATAGATAGATAGATGATAGATGATAGATGGATGGATGGATGGATGGATGGATGGATAGAAGATAGATAGATAGATAGATAGATGATAGATGATAGATGATAGATGATAGATGATAGATGGATGGATGGATGGATAGATAGATAGATAGATAGATAGATAGATAGATAGATAGATGATAGATAGATAGATAGATGATAGATAGATGATAGATAGATGGATAGATTGATGATAGATAGATAGATGATACATTGATAGATAGATAGATAGATAGATAGATAGATAGATGATAGATAGATAGATGATACATTGATAGATAGATAGATAGATAGATAGATAGATAGATAGATAGATAGATTGATGATAGATTGATTGATGATAGATAGATCATAGATAGATGGATAGATTGATGATAGATAGATATATAGATATATAGATAGATAGATAGATAGATAGATAGATAGATAGATGATAGATTGATTGATGATAGATAGAAAGAAAGAAAGAAAGAAAGAAAGAAAGAAAGAAAGAAAGAAAGAAA